TCTTTCACTTTCCTTTGATGTTCTCTTTCCTTTTCTTCGGCGTCCATTCTCATCTTTTCTCTTTCAACTTCCATCGTCATCCTTTCTCTTTCGAAATTCATTTGGCGTTCTTTTTCCTCTTTCTCTGCTTGAATTTCGAGTCTTCTTATTTCCAACTTTGTTTGTGCTGCCGTCATCTTCGCAGTTTCCGTTTCTTCAGTCGTCGACATATTGAACAGTTCTAATGAGCGTTATATCTTTGATAACGGAGTCCTTCTCCTTAGAATGATCCTTTACCGCTGCCACCAGAATATGTTACCCCGTTATGTTGTACTATCCTTATGTTATACAAAAGACCAGCAACAACCGTTCTCAAGTACAAATGTTGAGTATTAACACAAGTTACAACAATGATAACATGTATGGCCTGAGTATCGAGCTTAACAAGTTACTCCTTCCACGGCCACACCAGGACTGACTCTATTTGCTGTGATCTTACAGTTTATCCTAAAGCAACTATAATCTAATTCTGATAGGGAAAGTGTCTTCTACTGATCTACAATTAAACCGTGACCAGTTAATGTCTCCATGGTGGAGAGCATGCCCAGCCAATGTTTCACGGCATGATTCTGACACTAAGGTGACCGCAATTAAACTATCTGTCTGATAAGCCAGCCGGTCACATTAAGATTTAACGCAAATTATGTTCTACACTTGAGTGACAAATTTCACTATTAACAGTGACATATTAATTTTTCAGATATATTCTGTTTTGGTGACACATGATTGATTATTCAGATATATTCTGTTTTGGTGACACATGATTGATTATTCAGATATATTCTGTTTTGGTGACATATTAATTTTTCAGATATATTCTGTTTTGGTGACACATGATTGATTATTCAGATATATTCTGTTTTGGTGACATATTAATTTTTCAGATATATTCTGTTTTGGTGACACATGATTGATTATTCAGATATATTCTGTTTTGGTGACACATGATTGATTATTCAGATATATTCTGTTTTGGTGACATATTAATTTTTCAGATATATTCTGTTTTGGTGACACATGATTGATTATTCAGATATATTCTGTTTTGGTGACACATGATTGATTATTCAGATATATTCTGTTTTGGTGACATATTAATTTTTCAGATATATTCTGTTTTGGTGACACATTAATTTTTCAGATATATTCTGTTTTGGTGACACATGATTGATTATTCAGATATATTCTGTTTTGGTGACACATGATTGATTATTCAGATATATTCTGTTTTGGTGACACATGATTGATTATTCAGATATATTCTGTTTTGGTGACACATGATTGATTATTCAGATATATTCTGTTTTGGTGACATATTAATTATTCAGATATATTCTGTTTTGGTGACACATGATTGATTATTCAGATATATTCTGTTTTGGTGACACATGATTGATTATTCAGATATATTCTGTTTTGGTGACATATTAATTTTTCAGATATATTCTGTTTTGGTGACATATTAATTTTTCAGATATATTCTGTTTTGGTGACATATTAATTATTCAGATATATTCTGTTTTGGTGACACATGATTGATTATTCAGATATATTCTGTTTTGGTGACGTATGATTAATTATTCAGATATATTCTGTTTTGGTGACACATTAATTTTTCAGATATATTCTGTTTTGGTGACATATTAATTATTCAGATATATTCTGTTTTGGTGACACATGATTGATTATTCAGATATATTCTGTTTTGGTGACACATGATTGATTATTCAGATATATTCTGTTTTGGTGACACATGATTGATTATTCAGATATATTCTGTTTTGGTTACGCATGATTAAAGATCATAGACGTAAGGTCGTATATGATGCTCACTTATATTTTAAATTACCATGTGGTAGCAATTTTGATAGAATATTTGTTGTGAAAAAGATTCAAGTTGACAGAGTAAGTTATACTAAGCATATAGTTTGTAAGGATTAAAGTGGAGATTGACCTGATGGATGCTCATAACTTATTGAAAATTTTTGGAGTCACAGTTCAAAGTTTTGGATAGTCTTTTTTTAATTTCAATTAATAATAAAGGATCTTTCCCGTTACATTTTGTGCTGTGACCAAACCTTGCTTAACAAAGGTAAACCCGAACTTGGATTGTTAGATGTGATGTCTTTGGGATGGGGTTGATCGTCAGCGACCAGTTAGTTCAGTAGGTAGAGCATCCGTCTAGAGTTCTGAAGGTCCTGGGTTGGAACCCCAATCTGGCGGCACATTTTTCTACTCCTTTTACAATATTAATCACATCTCATAGGAATTGGAGTTATTAGGACTTGTTAGTGTTATTGAGGTAGAATAGGAATTTGAATAAATAGAGTGACTGTAGTGATATATTATGTAAGAGTTTTGGTCTCAAAGACCTTGTATCTAGTATATATGTCTGCTTTAAGAACTTGAGAATAATTAGAGAGCGTTTAATATTAAGAGCTTGTAATATTCATTCCTATAATCTGAAAGAGCTTGTAAGAGTTTTCTGTCATGGTGAATACCCTGATGTGTCATCAGTTACAGACACTGAGAGCTTGTTTTCTCAGAAAGTCTCTTCCGACTAGTAATGTGTTTGCTGTAATATTGAGAATCAGAAGTAGAGATAACCGAGTTTCTATGTGACACACATACTTAGGTTGTACCCTCCATATGGCATTGAAGTTGTATTTGGCCATCAAGTACCAGATAACACACCCAATATTGCTACTCATTTGATAGCAAAACTAATTTATGATGGAAATTTCCTAAAAAATGTCCTGTGCTCTTTCCTTTGTAGATTAACGTCTTTGTATAATAAACAGGAAAGCAGAGATTAATAAATTTATCATTCAAGTTAAATTTATATTCTGACCAACTTTAGACAGATTGCTTGTACATTGCTATTGTGCATCGTCCATTGTCATGCGCCATTTATGTCTGTAAACATCAGTAGGGGTTGGCAAATAATGAATTAATTAAAAAGTTTTGATTCAAACCCCCAGGAACTTATTGGGGCCCCGGAGGGGAAATTATGCAATATTTTGTTTCAAAACACTACTCCTTCTTAATGCTGGGGTAGATTATAACCAAATATGGTGTGAAACATTATTGTAGGTGGGTCTTTTAAATCAAGAAAGTTGATTTGACTCCTAGAGACTTGGGGAGGAGGCCCCAAAAGGGAAATTTAGATAATATTTTGATTCAAAATGTGACTCTTCCTTATGGTTTTAATGGATTTCAATTAAATTTGGTCTAAAACATCATTGAGAATGGGAAATCATTTTATAAATTCAGAAAGTTGATTAAACCTCTAGAGACTTCGGTACGGGCTTCAAAAGGACCAGGGAGTAGGGCCCCAAATGGGAAAGTTAGTCAATGATTTTGCTTCAAAACGCTATTCTTCCTTAATGCTTGAATGGATTATACCAAATGTGGTCTGAATTATCATCACGGAGATTCATTAGATTTGTTCGACTATCATCTGCAGTGCTGTGGTTTGTCCATTCATGCCTTGATTGTGAGATGACCATTTAGGGCCATGGCCCTCTTGTTAGGAAATCAGACCTAAAGGATCAGGATGACCTATAATCATCATTTTTCATCTGTTGTCGTGCTCCATCTGCCATGTGTAAACTTTCCATTCAAATGACTTCTTCTCAATAACCAAAAGGCTCAGTTTTCTGATATTGGGCATGTAGCATGCTGTGGTGGAGGGCTATCAGATTTGTTCAAATGGTTGACTTTGACCCATGTTCAAGGCCACAGGTGTCAAATATGCCAAAATCTTCAAATAACTTGTCCTGAATAACCAAAATTCTCAGGGTGTTGACTTTCGCCTGTAGCATGCTGGGGTGAAGGGCAACAAGTTTATAAAAAGGAATGATATTGACCCACTTTCAAGGTCAAAGGAATCAAATGTGTTGAAATCTTTAAAGTACTTATTCTCAATAACCAAAAGTCCTGGATACTGATATTGGTCTGTGGCATGCTGGGATTAAAAGTTACCAATTTTGCTCATGTGATTGACCTTGTCCCTTTTTAAAGGTCACAAGTGTCATATGTGTTAAAATCTTAAATTGACTTCTTCTCAATAATAAAAAGATCCAGGCTATCAATATTGATTCTGTTACATAATTAGATGAGGGGCTACCAGATTTATTCAAATGATTGACCTTGACCTACTTTCAAGGTCTCTTGGGTCGAATGAATTGAGATCTTAAAGTTTCTTTTTCAACAAGCAATAGGTGAGACTCATGGTATTTATGTAGTAACAGGCACGAGGGCAGATTGATAAGTAGTGAGCCTTGTATTGAAGAAGTTAGCAGGAATGTCTAATATTTCCTGACTTTTAAAGCTGTGTACCTGAAGACTGGTGGTATTTGGTCAATTAATGTTGAATTGAAGAGGTAGCACTCTAAGGTAAACAAGGCAAGAGACTTTTGGAAAATGATATCACTGGAAGAGCAGTGATTCAATACTTGCATAAGAAATTGAGCATCCATCTTATTCACCTGATCTTGGTCCAGCAGACTTTCACCTATTTACAAAATTGGATAAGGCCATTTCCTGTACAGACTTGGGTCAGATGATGATGTCATACATGCATTAAAGGATGTTCTGAACAGTCAAGAAGATGGCATCTTTAAACGTCGCTGACAAAAATGAATAGATACTGAATACCGGTACTAATATTGATAAAATCATAACGTCCATCAAAAGTCAAACCCTTAATATGAGGCTCACTCAGCTCTTGTTTAAGGAATAGAATTTCAAGTTAGCAGTTTTTTTTATAAACTGACAATGTCTTCTATGCAAGCTATAGCATAGTTGAGCAATTTAGGCCTATTTGGCCACTTTTATAAATAGATCCTTATGGTTAGATGACCATTTCAGCCTGTGGACACTAACTAAACAATGTCTCGGTAGAATTTTTCATCTTGTTTCAAACATGCTGTAATTGAGATTACTTTTTTCCAACAAAGGTTTACACGAGTTGCGCCATGGCATCAGCAAATTTCACGCAAAGTATGACAACATTGAAGTGGATCCCAGTGACATTATTGTTGGACCAGGTAGTAAGGAGCTGATATTTCTTCTTCTACAAATATTCAATGGAGGTATGTAAAGATGTCTGGATATCATCAGTTATGGCTTAATTAATTCTAATAATTTTACTGTGTCTGACAATAGATGGCCATGCCTGACGAGGACCACACACATATATGTATTGCTATTTTGTAAGATTTTCAACCATGAAATGATATTTCATTGTCCTGTAATAAGTTTGAAGATTTTCAACCATGAAATGATATTTCATTGTCCTGTAATAAGTTTTGAGTGACTTTGATTGAAACAAAATGTGTTGGCACGCAGAGGTCTTGTAATAAAGCCTCCCTTGGAAGCAATATAATGGGCCCCTGGACTTATTGTCTTGTAATAAGCCCACCCCTGATGTTGAGATAAAAGCAATATGTCAGACCTCATGGCTTCTGTCCTTTAATAAGCCCACCATTGACTGTGCTTAAGAAATGATATGTTGACCCTCTCTTGTCCTGTAATAAGCCCATCCCCTGACTTTGAGTAAGAAGCAATGTGTTGACCCCCTTTGTGTCCTGTAATAAGCCCACCCCCTGACTCTTGAGTAAGAAACAGTTTGTTGACCCCCCTGGTGTCCTGTAATAAGCCCACCCAATACTTTGAGCTAGAAGCATATGTTGACCCCTTAGGTCCTAATAAGTCCATCCCATAACTTTGGGTGAGAGGTAATGTGTTGGCCCCATGGTGTCCTGTAATAAGCCCATCCCCTGACTTTGAGCCAAACATGATGTATTGTAATAGTCTTATGAGATAAATCGTGACCTCATCAAGTGTGATGTTAGATAACTTTCCTGTTACCTTGTTTCCAGACGTGATTGTGATTTCACCATCATGGACGACATACAAACCCCAGACAAAGCTATCATGCCACAAAGCATATGTGATAGAAACAAGCATAGAAAATGACTGGAAGATAACACCAGGGCTTGTACAACAGGTATGGTACATTGGGAATCAACATTCCACAGATATGGGAAGTGTGTTACACACTGAAACTGTATCAAAATCATTTGTATGTTTAATAATTTGATTAATACAGAAAATACAGAATAGTTTGCACATTATGTGTTACGTAATCTACATTGTATCCAATATCAAGTAACCTGATGTCTGGGTTAGTCCTGTAGAATCAAGAGCGATGTTTTTAAGGGTTGTCAGACATTAAACAAGCATATTGTTAACATACCTTTAAGTATGTAGACAATGTTCTATATTATATTTAACATTCTTTCGGTTAAAGTAGATTCAGGATCAATTTGGAAAATTCTAAACTCTGATCTAGAGAGAATGAATATCAGGTGATTCCAGTATTTATCAGGATTTAAGCAGCTAGATCGTGATATAACAAGTTGACCTGGCAAAGTCAGTAGAGTTGGCAAAACTGAAACTTGTTTACATTTAAGTATTGGTTGAAATGGCCAGGTAGATCTTCCTTGTACCAGGACGAGCCTCTATTCGTAGCAAGCTTTGACGACCGTAAATGACATTTTACATAACATTGATAGAATAAAACCACTGTTTTTATGTAATTAGCTCGTCAGCACAGAGTTCCACATGTAACAAAACACACATGACCAGAACTGATATACCTTATAAACAGGCTAGTCCCAAAGGATGTTTCTGTTTTTCTTGTAAGCAAATACTAAAATATGGGTCGCAAGAAATAAATACTTCTCAGATCTGACCTAGGAATATTAGTTTTTTAGGTCATCAGCAGGCAACATGGCTTTCCTCTAGATAATTGTCGAGAAAGAAATAAAGTTTAGATTTTTTCAACATCTGTAAAATAATTAAAACTACAGTGAATTTCAATTGTTCATCTGACCTCACAAAGAAATGATATCCTAGACTTGTAGCCACCTTTATGTAAATATACAACCGATACTTACATCATTCCAAAATGTTGAAAATTATTTGTCAATTATCCTTATTCCTTTTGAGCTGCCTCCCTCAAACTCCCTACTGCAGCTTTGGCCTTGAACTCTGAAGAGGGCCCCCCATTTCATTTCAATCTACATACACACCAAAGGCATTTAGCTATGCACCAGCTTCCTACCAAATTAATGTTGGCAAATATTCCTTAGTTTCAGATTTGGAATTATGTTATAACATACATGGTTTGTGTGTTATTTCTCGAAAATTGGTTAATGTCTATAAGCTCCCAATCCTGTGTTTAGTAGGTAGACCCCTTTCTTTGAGGTGTACTGGAATGGACAAGACAAATGGGGCTGCATTAGCTCATTCAGGACAGCATAAGACTATATATCTTGTGTTTAATATCAGAAGTGTGTGGTTCGACAAGGTGATGATCAGAGGTGTGTGGTTTGACGTGGTGATGATCAGAGGTGTGTGGTTCGACGTGGTGAAGATTTAAGGTGTGTGGTTCGCAGAGGTGATGATCAGAAGTGTGGTTTAATGAGGTTAAGATCAGAGGTGTGTAGTTTGATGGGGTTAAGATCAGAGGTGTGTAGTTTGATGGGGTTAAGATCAGAGGTGTGTAGTTTGATGGGGTAAAGATCTAAGGTATGTAGTTTGATGGGGTAAAGATCTAAGGTGTGTAGTTTGATGGGGTAAAGATCAGAGGTGTGTAGTTTGATGGGGTAAAGATCTAAGGTGTGTAGTTTGATGGGGTAAAGATCAGAGGTGTGTAGTTTGATGGGGTAAAGATCTAAGGTGTGTAGTTTGATGGGGTAAAGATCAGAGGTGTGTGGTTCGACGTGGTGAAGATTTAAGGTGTGTGGTTCGCAGAGGTGATGATCAGAAGTGTGGTTTAATGAGGTTAAGATCAGAGGTGTGTAGTTTGATGGGGTTAAGGTCTGAGGTGTGTGGTTTGATGGGGTTAAGGTCTTAGGTGTGTGGTTTGATGGGTAAAGGCCTGAGGTGTGTAGTTTGATGGGGTAAAGATCAGAAGTGTGTGGTTTGATGGGGTTAAGGTCTGAGGTGTGTGGTTTGATGGGGTTAAGGTCTTAGGTGTGTGGTTTGATGGGTAAAGGCCTGAGGTGTGTGGTTTGATGGGGTAAAGATCAGAAGTGTGTGGTTGGATGGGATTAAGGTCTGAGGTGTGTGGTTTGATGAGGTAAAGATCAGAGGTATGTGGTTTGATGGGGAAAGGCCTGAGGTGTGTGATTTGATTAGGTAAAGATCAGAGATGTGTGGTTTGATGGGGTTAAGGTCTGAGGTGTGTGGTTTGATTAGGTAAAGATCAGAGGTGTGTGGTTTGATGGGATTAAGGTCTGAGGTGTGTTGTTTGATGGGGTTAAGGTCTGAGGTGTGTGTTTTGATGGAAGAAAGGTCCGAGGTGTGTGGTTTGATGGGGTTAATGTCTGAGGTTTGTGGTTTGATTAGGTTAAGGTCAGAGGTGTGTGGTTTGATGAGGTAAAGATCAGAGATGTGTGGTTTGATGGGGTAAAGATCAGAGGTGTGTGGTTTGATGGGGTTAAGATCTGAGGTTTGTGGTTTGATGGGGGTAAAGATCAGAAGTGTGTGGTTTGATGGGGTTAAGGTTTGAGGTGTGTGGTTTAAAGAGGTAAAGATCAGAGGTATGTGGTTTGATGGGGTTAAAGTCTGAGGTGTGTGGTTTGATTAGGTAAAGATCAGAGGTGTGTGGTTTGATGGGGTAAAGATCAGAAGTGTGTGGTTTGATGGGGTTAAGATCAGAGGTGTGTGGTTTGATGGGGTAAAGATCAGAGGTGTGTGGTTTGATGGGGTTAAGGTCTGAAGTGTGTGGTTTGATGAGGTAAAGATCACAGGTGTGTGGTTTGATGGGGTTAAGGTCTGAGGTGTGTGGTTTGATGGGGTTAAGGTCTGAGGTGTGTGGTTTGATGAGGTAAAGATCAGAGGTATGTGGTTTGATGGGTAAAGGCCTGAGGTGTGTGATTTGATTAGGTAAAGATCAGAGATGTGTGGTTTGATGGGGTTAAGGTCTGAGGTGTGTGGTTTGATTAGGTAAAGATCAGAGGTGTGTGGTTTGATGGGATTAAGGTCTGAGGTGTGTTGTTTGATGGGGTTAAGGTCTGAGGTGTGTGTTTTGATGGAGTTAAGGTCCGAGGTGTGTGGTTTGATGGGGTTAATGTCTGAGGTTTGTGGTTTGATTAGGTTAAGGTCAGAGGTGTGTGGTTTGATGAGGTAAAGATCAGAGATGTGTGGTTTGATGGGGTAAAGATCAGAGGTGTGTGGTTTGATGGGGTTAAGATCTGAGGTTTGTGGTTTGATGGGGTTAAGGTCTGAGGTGTGTGGTTTGATGAGGTAAAGATCAGAGGTGTGTGGTTTGATTAGGTAAAGGTCTGAGGTGTGTGGTTTGATGAGGTGAATATCTGGGGTGTGTGGTTTGATCCCTACATTTGGATGGTCTGCATGTCTTCATATTGTAATACTTCAGTTAAAAAATAGTGTTTTTTTTTCTTATGAATGTTTTTATGTGGTTCATCTCGAAGTGATTTCCTCTTATATCAAAACTAGGTTACACTGACCTATATCTTGACCTTTTTCATTAAAATTGCACGTCTTGGATTGGTGGTGTACCACATACTAGATACTAAAAATCTATCTTCCATAACATTCTGTACAGGTATAAAAGTGTGTTTAGTGTCACGGTCAATCATATATTTTTATAGTTCCACATATTCAGATATGTTTCATGGTTTTTATAAGCATTTTAATTAATTAGCAATTTTCACCCATTTATGGTTTAGGATTAGGATATGGGGATCAAGCACGGGAAGCCATATTTCTGACATTCCATACTGTGCACAGAGTGTGCTTAAAACCTAGATGTGATTGTAAAATTGAGCTGGGTTATTTTACCCACGGCGAGGTTCATTCTAACCCTCGTATGAGACAGTGAGGCTGTTATTGACAGTGCTGTGTAGGCATCATCTCCAGGTTCTAAGTAAATCTAGCAACCTCAAGGTCCATTTTAATCAATGTATGAGGCAGTAAGGCTGCCATGGATGGTCCTGTGTGGGCATTTGTAGGTTCTAGGTGAATCAAATGACTTTATGTGAACATCGTGTGATATAGACTGTTACTATTATCCCATTATCTTAGCGATTTAAGTTCAAGGATAACTTCCTGTGAAGGGATATATTAGGTAGTTATTTACAAGTACAGAAATTCTGCAAAAGATTCTTGCTTGATAAAATAAGAATAGCTGCAGCATCGCCAACTCGCCTGATTTCATCAGCTCAGCCAAGTAATGATCATATCATGAACTGCTTAAATTGTGAAAAATGCTGGAATCATCTGACATTGCTTCACTTCTGATCAATTTTTGAAAATTTATAATTCAATTTTTTTGGACCTAATAAAGTCAAAATACTGTTTAAATAATTATAACCTCGAACATTAACTTGATACATACATATGATAAAACTGTACAATGGAATTCAGTACAAGTTGTCTTTATCTCTAATGTCGCTGTTGGCTTGGAAGGATTAAGACCAGATGTTATATGACAAAAGGATGGCCACACTGTAGCTGTCATTTGTAATGGCTATCAAATGTATTAAAGTTTAGTTATTTAATACAAGTTTATTTGATAATTTTTATAACCAGAATTTAACTGATCTTAATCAGAGTTATTGAGGGGTGCTCTGCTGTAAATTGTTGGGTTTTAATTGGCAGTTGATGAAGTGTAACAGTTTGAAGAAGAATCGATTGTTGATCCTCAACAACCCAGACAATCCTAGTAAGTACACTTCGTACTGATATTTAACTTACCCTTTAATAGGCGTGAAATATTCAGTCCTTCAATTCTCTTCTCTCCTACCTCAAATTATAGTATTTTTCCAAGGGGAGTCTTAACATAGTTTTTTGTTTGTGAAACAGATAATATTTGAATTACTTAACAGTTCAATTGTAACTTACCTGACTTCCAGGGCCAATTAGTGAGCTGATGCTGTGGTGTGATGTTTATCATCTGTCAGGCTTCTGTCAATTCTCTTTAGAAAACTTCTGTAGAAGAACCAGTTGGTCTGGCATCATGATATTTTAGCTTGGAGCTTTTTCAGAATGAATTATAAACAATTTTGTGGAAAGAAATGGCAATGACCCATATTCAAATTCACTACAGCCAAATTTGTTAAACACTCGGAACAACTTCTAGTCAACCAAAAGATCTAGGATCCTGATAACTGTCATTCAGGCCCCTGAGATTGAACAGGAATAAGTTTGTAAAAAGAAATGTACTTGACTTGTATTCAAAGTCAATATACCTGGTATAATTTTATGACTTAGTAATTGTAATTTGTGAAACTTTGATATTCAGCCTTACGAAATATTTATTGGAGTCTTCCAGAGAAGACATTGTCAGTTAAAGAGGAATACTGATAGCTAGTTTCAGAAGTTAAATTAGACATTGTTCGGCTTGAAGGTCAATGATAAGGGACATGTATTGTTAGAATCAGTGAGTGATGTTGGCCCAATGGGGCTCTTGTCAATTGTTTGATGGTGTGTTATCATGCGAGTCTATTTTCAGCTGGAACCAGTTATAGTCAGACAGAACTCAAAGCACTCAGGTAACCTAGAAATTGTTAATATAGTAACCATAGAAACCGTGCAAACCATGCGTAATAGCTGGAGTAATACATTGTAACTGTTAATAATCCTATCAGTATAGTGCTGGAGTATTACATTGTAACTGTCAATAATCCTATCAGTATAGTGCTGGAGTAATAAATTGTAACTGTTAATAATCCTATCAGTATAGTTCTGCTGGAGTAATACATTGTAACTGTTAATAGTCCTATCAGTATAGTGCTGGAGTATTACATTGTAACTGTCAATAATCCTATCAGTATAGTGCTGGAGTAATATATTGTAACTGTTAATAATCCTATCAGTATAGTGCTGGAGTATTACATCGTAACTGTTAATAATCCTATCAGTATAGTGCTGGAGTAATATATTGTAACTGTTAATAATCCTATCAGTATAGTGCTGGAGTAATATATTGTAACTGTTAATAATCCTATCAGTATAGTGCTGGAGTATTACATCGTAACTGTTAATAATCCTATCAGTACAGTGCTGGAGTAATACATTGTAACTGTTAATAATCCTATCAGTATAGTGCTGGAGTATTACATCGTAACTGTTAATAATCCTATCAGTACAGTGCTGGAGTAATACATTGTAACTGTCAATAATCCTATCAGTATAGTGCTGCTGGAGTAATATATTGTAACTGTCAATAATCCTATCAGTATAGTGCTGCTGGAGTAATACATTGTAACTCTTAATAATCCTATCAGTACAGTGCTGGAGTAATACATTGTAACTGTCAATAATCCTATCAGTATAGTGCTGGAGTAATACATTGTAACTGTTAATAATCCTATCAGTATAGTGCTGGAGTATTACATTGTAACTGTCAATAATCCTATCAGTATAGTGCTGCTGGAGTAATACATTGTAACTGTTAATAGTCCTATCAGTATAGTGCTGCTGGAGTAATACATATTGTATAGGAAGTTTTTTTTATATTTCGCTTTTGTCAGAAATCAGTTTTTTAGACAACACATTACATCTTATTCTACATATCTTTTTCTGTTGTTTGAAACAGTTGGTAAAGATGTTGTGATTTGTCTTTGTTTCAGTGATGTCTTCCGTGAACACAACATTCTGGTGTTGAGCGATGAAATCTATGGTCGTCTGCATTACAATCAGTCCCATGTTTCTATGGCTAAGGTCAGTGACACAATCACAATGGTAGTAAATCCAGGCCCTGGCATACTTACACATGCTAAAGACTTGTTCAATGTGTTAGTGTAATGTGCCAAAGACTAGATTGTAACAAGAAATGTGATGTTAAATAAAATGTGATAATAGTTGAAATGTGATATAAAGGGAATGTCATATGAAAGGAAATGTGATTGATTATAATCTCAGATTTGGCATTACAAGAAATACTGTTAAAAAAAATGTTCATTTCTCTATCTCTCTGGAATTTTTATACACATAATTTGAAAAATAATTTCAAACATGTATAGGAGTCAGTATATAAAATTTCTTCAGTATACATTTGAAGTGTTAAGTGCGTAAACTTTCAACAGGACATAACCGGTTGAATGTCACAGTCATTTCATATTTGTAATTTTGTTAGTTCTTTAACAGTAACTGAGAGTGAACCTATTTGTTTTTCCAACTGATCAGTTTTGCGATGAAAAGAAAACTGTGTTAACTTGAAAAATACAATTTTGAATGTATGTGTGACATCTGTTACAGGTATATCCTGAGGGTACAATACTATGTACAGGATTGTCCAAATGGGCCAGTGCAGGAGGATGGCGGGTAAGTTGTACAGAGTAACAGAGATCTATGTACCCAGGTGATGAATAAAGATAAAGGATATTAGTTCTCTCTATTGGGGCCATGCAAACAGCAAAACGAAAAAATATTTTTGAGCGTAAACAGGGATATTCACAGGTTTGCTATCAAAAGCATGGTTGTAACAATTGTTTTCACGATTTCATGAAATAGTTTGTTTTACCATTAAATATCCAGGTGTGTAATAGACATGTAGGTCCATTTCTGTCCTTGTATATATCTATATAAAAACATCAAGTTTTATATAATTGATCTGATATCGTCACTTTCTGTTCTGTTACAAATGAAATGGAGGCTGAATAAGTATTTGCTTCACCACAGCTGTTCATTGCACACTGCAATTTAAACATGGATTTTAATTAAATCTTGGTAACAGTTTGTAGCGAGTCTTTTCAACTGATAGCTGAAACCCCATATAATATGGCCGATACATTGCTTTTTCCGTTTGTCAGCGATGACATAATACACCAGTGACAGACTGGGACAAAATTCTGTCATACGTATGAATATTGAATTTCAATGAAAAGCATTAAATATTTTTTATTTATTTTATATTCAGCAATAGTTTTATATATATATTCCTAGATACGTAATTGTTTTATCAATTTCATGATTGTTGAAATTGGTTTGTATTTGTGGAAGTATCATGATCTAAAAATTCTAAAATTAGTGTAGAAAAAAGTTAAAAATGGGCTATGATTGTACTAATAAATAAATGCTGTTTCTGTAGTATTATAATTTAATTATGTTAGATTTTATCAACCACAATTAATAAAAATAACAGCTTCCCAGTGTTAGAGAGCTTATTTTCTAAGTGTATAGGTTTGAATTTCTCTCAACAGATTGGCTATCACATATATCCACCACAGTTGTCTCCCCTGAAGAAGGCAGTCCAGAGTGCTGCGAGTCACACCTATTCCTGTGCTCCAGCACCCATGCAGTATGCAGTATCGAAGGTTATTTCAGAAATTTTAATAGATTCAGATTGTTATTTGAACTATGAGCATTATACCAATAACACAATAGAGTTATCTCCCTTACTTTACATGTCGGTGTTAATGCTTCATCAGTGAACATCTCTTGTTCCTTTAATTATGATCTGGATTTAATTCACAATCATCTTGGAAGAATGTCAAGTTTCTAATTGAATTTTAGAAACTCTACATTCATGATAAGATATTTTTGCATTCGACCTCCAAAATTTATAAACAAATATATGTTATCTCTCTATCTGTTGAACATCAGTACCTGAGATAGACTACCATTGATATTATTACAGTTTGAGGACAGTGAGGTGCTTCATGCTGAATTTGCCTTGATCCACTTGGCATTCATAATTCCTAGGAATATCCATCCGCCAATGCTTATATCTATATTAGTTTACAATTGTAATCTAGTTATAAGGGGAGGTAACCTCAGTTTGTTAGCCGATCATGTGATGTAATACAGACGTTGGGCAGGTTACACCATAGCAATTTCATATGATGGTTAATAAATCATTGGAGAGATTTTGTTAGGGGCTAAAAGTAATATTAAAACAGACAAGATTTATTTTTGAAGGATTTGAATACACATTTAGTCTGACAACTGGAATAATTTACTCTGCTGTCAACACAGTTATATCACTAGAAAAATATTTTTCAGATGTTCAAAGACTTAGATGGCTGTGATGAGTACATGAAGCATTGTTCTAGAATCATGGGAATGGTAGGAATGTACTGTCACAGGTAAGGAACCTACAACTTGTCCCACATGGATCATAGGTAAGGGTGTTGACCTACAACTGGTCCCACATGGATCATATTATGTAGCAGCTATGTTAATAACTAACAAAGATTGTATGATAGTTGGCACCAAAATGATACTGGGATCTTTGTCAAATGGTTCAATTTTTATTTTATTTAAACCTTCTTGACCTAAACTCCCCTTTTCTTCTCATAAAGAACCTAAAAGCCAATGATCATATTTGGCCAGCAGCATTTAAATTCTGGGGTGAAGGGGCCTGGGATTTAGTTATGTAATACACAAAAATAAGACATAGATATATTCATAAGATAACAGTGACAAATAACATATTGTGCAGGGGAATTATGTTGGAAATGAGTATGAACCTTGTATGCTTACAATACAGAACAGGTGAGCAATGCAGTCCCATTGGGCTTCTTGTTATATCTAAGCTAACCTTAAAATGAGCTGAAATTATAATTTCATGAACAAATGTCATTAATCTTTTATGAAAATGAAAGCAGTTTAGCATGTTTTAAATTTCATCATGAAGATTTAGGGTAATTTTTCCTGTTCCCATCATTTGATGATGTACAACAGGCCATAACAATATTGTAGAAATGTCCTTTTTATCAGAGAACTGACCTCGGTGGGAGTAAATGTGGTAAAACCAACAGCTGGCTATTATATTTTCCCTGACTTTGGAGTTGTTAAAAATAAACTCAGGCAGCGTGGAATTGAGACATGTCAACAAATGTGTGATGCCATCTTTGCTGAAACTTCTGTTGCAGTAAGTTGGGTTTCTTTTTCGGAAGAAGAAGAATTAAAAAAGAAAAGTTTTTCATGTAAGACTTCCTTTTCTGTAACAACACGAGAACAAGTCTAGACCACTCCTGTCATTATAGAAGAACCAGTCTAGTGAAACCATTTTTTCTGTCACAACAGTAAAACCTTTCAAGTGAGACCATCATTTCTGTCACCACAGTAGAACCTTTCTAGTGAGACCATAATTGCGGTCACCACAGTTGAACCTTCCCAGTGAGACCATCATTTCTGTCACCACAGTAGAACCAGTCTAGACAGACTTCCTCTCCTGTCAGTGTAGTTTAACTTGTATAGAGAGACCACCCCTTTTGTCACTATTACAGAACCATTCAAGAAACACCAATTCTTTCAAAACAGTTGAGAGATAATCCTGTTTGTAGAACTTGACTAATGAGGCCACTGTTTCTGTCACAATATTAGAAGCTGTCTTGAGAGACAACTCTATTAAACCTTGATAGCTGGTATTTAGGGAAACATCTCTACTGTTTATGATATAACCAACATAAAACAGAATTTCTGTTTAGTATCTTCCTACTTAATTTTACAGCTGATGGCAGGTGGACCTGCATTTTTGCGTCCCATTGAAGAACTTACCACTCGTCTCTGTTATGTACCATTTGATGGTAAGCCAGCACTTGTCGCCAGTCAAGCTATCGGTCTGGATGTTGGATTACCAGAAAATTTTGTCAAGGAATACTGCACACCTGTGTATGATGGCATACAGGTAAAAATGAAATATTGTTCAGCTGTTTGCTGTTCATTGCATTTATTAGAATCATTTAAAGCTCATTGGATTGTGTAATTTCTATGTCAGATTAAACCTAAATATATTTAGATTTCACTAATATTTTTATATATATCTTACACTCTACAACGATTACACTAGACTGTGCTGTCAGTCTATATTTGAAGGTACCTTTGTCCTTAACTTGAACAATTCAAATTTGATATTACATATGCAGATTAACTTAATCACAATTCCAACATACTGTACCAATTCAACAACTCCTACTGAGTCAGTATGAGTTGTTGTTGTAATACTGAGTCAATAGGAATTATTGTTCTGTAGTAATAAATCTGTAGGACTGAGGCAGTAGGACTTCTTATTCAATAGTACTGAGTCGGACTTGTTTCTAAATTGTACTTAGTAAATATGAGTTGTTTTTCAACAGTACTGAGTCAGTACGAGTTGTAATACTGAGTCAATAGGCATTGTTGCCCTGGTATGGAGTCAAAAGGAGACTAGGTCAGTTGGAACCTTTTCTATAATACTGAGTCAATAGGTGTTGTTGGCCTAATAAAAAGTCAGTAGGAGACTGAGTCAGTAGGATACTAGGTCAGTAGGAGACTGAGTCAGTATGAGACTTGGTCAGTAGGAGACAGGGTCAGTAGGCAACTGGGTCAGTAGGAGTCTGAGTCAGTAGGAGACTTGGTCAGTAGGAGATCAAGTGAGTAGGAGACTGGATCAGAAGGCGACCGGGTCAGTAGGCGACTGGGTCAGTAGGAGACTGAGTCAGTAGGAGACTGGGTCAGTATGAGACTGAGTCAGTATGAGACTGAGTCAGTATGAGACTGAGTCAGTAGGAGTTGTTGGTCTATAGAACTGAGTCAGTAAGAGTTGCTGCTCAATAGTATTGAGTCAGTAGGAGTTGTTGGTCTATAGAACTGATTCAGTAAGAGTTGTTTTGTATTGAGTCAGTAGGAGTTGTTTGCCAGCAGTGTTGCTGTTCTATTTCTAAGTCCATTGGAGTTGCTAAATAAATTCAGAGTCATTGTGGTCTCAACTCAGCTTCTGAGTCAGTATGTGTCATCCTTAGTGACTTTGGAATCTAATATTCTTATATTTATTGTGTAACAATTTATATATGCTGCTTCAAAGCTTCCATTATGTAATCGGAAAAATATGTCCGTGGCAGATATCTGGGTGACAAGTTGTTAATCTGTACGTGTTTTTGTTTCAGGTTTTGAAGCAGTGGGTAACAAAGCAGCTGGAGTCCTAGATCTACCTAGTCAATGTTTGTGATTAAGTGCTGATTCAGGAAAAAAGACACTGAAATGATTTAAAGTTGTCTTTGTCTAGGCAGTATTTAGTATACATGCGTGAAAAGATGTGTGAGAGTTTGTTTTGTGTAAGAACATTATATCAGAAGAAATGGAGGATTAGAAGTAAATCCTCAAACAAATTATGGTAGAAAAAAACAAGTAGGTTTAAGTCACAGAGAAGCAATAGCCAAATAGAAAAGATAACCATAAGGAATTCATTGTACTATCAGAGGTTTAATATATGGTAACTAAAACATACCTTTACACAGGAAATGTTAGTGGTCATATTTGTCTATTTGGCCAAAAAAGCTGAAAGTTGATCTTTTAATTTTGGCAACTGGTCATACTTCAGAGATTTCAACGGAAATAATATGTACATGGTAAACAGGTATGCTAGCCAGAGGACAAAAACTTATTTCTACATTGATCTGGATATATAGACACAATGCCTGCATTAAGTACCATTATTATTTATTATGCATACAAGTAAAAACACAGATGAAATAAATGTACCAAAATAATTACAATTAATGTGTAACTTTGTGAAAGTAAGGAAACTGAATGTTTGAAGGCACTCTCACATTCTTCCAAAGTTTCTATAATTTACAACCTAAAACCATACAAATATTAGAAAACAATTGAATGTTGTGCTGCAAAAATGACTGACCTGGATAAAAATTATGTGGAGACTCTTGAAAAGAGACAATTTTCATTATAATCTAAATGAAGTTTTCAAAATGAGAGCTATGTTAGGGACAACAAATTGCCAGTAATTTCAAAACATTGATCTGTATACAGAGGATCTCAAATGAGTGTCAATTTTGGTTGAGATTTATGAAGAAAGAGGCCCATAGGGTCTGTTTTGCTCACTTATAGTCAGCTTTCACATCAGAACAGCTTTTCCCCGAAGTATGAGGGATTCTATAAAGACTCAAATCATTAAAGTAACTTCATCCAGTCAGAAAAATAAATGATTTTGAACTTTACCTCTGTTTTGCTTTACAAGCCCAAACCCTCTGCTCTCAAAGGGTGACAGACCCTAGACTTTATGCCTCCTTCCCAAATGGTATTCATAAAAAATTTGGTAAAAATACTTTCATCCCAACAGGAAGACATTTAAGTGATTTCTCAATATCCCATATTGGTCCTTCCCCTCTGCCTCCAGGAGAGCCATACCTGATGTTTCTACAATAACCTTAAGTCCCATTTACCTTGGATGCTTGGAATATGCTGCCTATATTTTTGTTGTATTTGGCTGGAAAACGGCTGTATTTTAGCACAGGTATTAATTCCATAAACTTACTCTCTGAATTATTTTAGATATTGCGTTAGATTAATGAATAATATCAAGATAAGCAACTATAAATGTTGTGAAGAACAAGCAAGTTCATTTATGAAAAATGGTAAAATAGTTGTTATATAAAAAACTTAACAATAACTGTTGAAATTTTTAATTTCAATTTTCAATTGTTATTGAAAGGTGAACATAGTCAGTGTCTTAAAATATTAATAAATTGAATAAATAATTTGGCCCCTAACAGCCATGAATGTTCCAGAACAAATTTGGGCAAAATCCACTAATTTTTAGTTCACCTGGTCCAAAGATCAGAAGCATTCTTGGATGAAGGGAAATCAGTCTTTTATAAACATTAGGTTTGGTCATCTTGTGGCTGGAGGGAGGAGGGGTGGGGCCAAATGGAGGAGATATATTCTTTAAAATCTTACTCCTTCAGTAAGAATGATTAGATTTTGTCCACATTTAGTCTTTAAATATTCTTAGATGAAGGGAAATCAGTTCTGTATAAACACTGGATTTTTGCCCAGAGGGACATGAGAAGAGGGGGCCCAATTAGGGAAATAGAGTGAATTCCTTGAAATCTAACTTCTCCCTTAGGAATGATTGGACTTTGCTGAAACTTGGTCAGAAACACCCTTGGGTGAAAAAGACAAACGTTTTTTAGAAGTACATGCATTTGTTCTGCACCTCCAGTGGTCTGAAGGGCAAGGGCAAGGGCAAGGGCAAGGGCAAGAGGGGGGATTGGGAAATAGAGTAGATTCTTCAAAATTGAAATTCTGAATGGCTGAATAGCCATAATGGCCAGGTTAGGATGCTGGCCTATTGTTTATGATTAGTAGCGATCTGAATGACATACCGACGATGGACACCACAGTATCGCATAACTTATATTGTTTAACAAGACTACATAAAAACTGGTGACATGTTGCATGCTGGATGAAGGGATACCGAGTTTGTTCAAACGTTACCTTCTTCAAGGTAACATAGATCAAATGTAATAAAGTCTTAAATGTTAATTACTGTTATTTAATTTTCGTCATTACACCTGCCGCATACAGTAACCATTACAAGACTCCACTCTTTGTAACGGAAGACATTTATTAATATCACAGAACGCCTCTGCCTGGGTTCAAACCAAGGGCCTCTGGCTTACTACACTTACACTCATCTGAATGAGCTAACACCACTAGTGAACATAATGCTAGACAAAAACATCAAATATCGTGTTATAACAACATTTCCTACCGATGGCGTTATTTTCACTGAGGGATCTGTTAGGTGTTTACATCCTTCATTGTCGGAAGAAATTTGCTGTATTATTGCCTCCGACAATATCATAGATACAGTGAATTGGGGACATAGCTTGATATTTACTTAATGTCTGTTACAACGTATTCCGGTCATTTATCATAGACTATACTGTATCAAAGCAGTTGAATTCGGCAGTGTCGCAACTGTAAACTATATCCGACATAGTAGGTTTTATGCCTACCCCGTGGATAGCAATGAACCGATTCCTGATAGGTGAATCCAGTACAAGGCCTGTTTAAATTGACCGTTTCATTGTAAGACGTCTCACGTGGGAATTTGTCAGAATATGCAGAAAACGGCGTCGTTTATCTCCAGAGATAAGGTAAAAATTGGACAAAAGCGTACGTGTTTTCGTCAATGCAATACTGAACCACTTCAAATCAGGTGCAAAATTATTTTACCACCAGCCATTAAAAAAGAAGTTGCAGACCAAGATCCGTTCTCATTGTCGTATGTGAAGAACTGGTGTCCATTGTGGTAATACATTGCGTCCATTGTCAACGACAAACTATAACTGTTTCAAATCAAATAGCAATTTTCAGTAGAAAGGTACCAACAGTTGTTTTAATGATTATGACAAGTTAAAACGTCTCTGGCATACACTTAAATTCTGGAAGCCCAAAAAGTGATTACAAAGTGTGACATGAAATACAGTACTCCATCGCTAGGACTGAAAGTGTAATCTGTAATACAGTATTCCATCGCTAGGACGGAAAGTGTGATCTGAAATACAGTATTCCATCGCTAGGACAGCAAAGTGTGATCTGAAATACAGTATTCCATCGCTAGGACTGCAAAGTGTGATCTGAAATATAGTATTCCATCGCTAGAACTGCAAAGTGTGATCTGAAATACAGTATTCCGTCGCTAGGACCGAACAGTGTGATCTGAAATACAGTATTCCATCACTAGGACTGAAAAGTGTGATCTGAAATACAGTATTCCATCGCTAGAACTGAAAAGTGTGAACCATCGCTAGGACAGCAAAGTGTGATCTGAAATACAGTATTCCATCGCTATGACTGCAAAGTGTGATCTGAAATAGTGTTCCATCGCTAGGACTGCAAAGTGTGATCTGAAATACAGTATTCCATCGCTAGGACTGAAAAGTGTGATCCATCGCTAGGACAGCAAAGTGTGATCTGAAATACAGTATTCCATCGCTAGGACTGCAAAGTGTGATCTGAAATACAGTATTCCATCGCTATGACTGCAAAGTGTGATCTGAAATAGTGTTCCATCACTAGGACTGCAAAGTGTGATCTGAAATACAGTATTCCATCGCTATGACTGAACAGTGTGATCTGAAATACAGTATTCCATCGCAAGGACAGCAAAGTGTGATCTGAAATACAGTATTCCATCGCAAGGACAGCAAAGTGTGATCTGAAATACAGTATTCCATCGCTAGGACTGCAAAGTGTGATCTGAAATACAGTATTCCATCGCTAGAACTGCAAAGTGTGATCTGAAATACAGTATTCCGTCGCTAGGACTGAACAGTGTGATCCATCGCTAGGACAGCAAAGTGTGATCTGAAATACAGTATTCCATCGCTAGAACTGCAAAGTGTGATCTGAAATACAGTATTCCATCGCTATGACTGCAAAGTGTGATCTGAAATAGTGTTCCATCGCTAGGACTGCAAAGTGTGATCTGAAATACAGTATTCCATCGCTATGACTGAACAGTGTGATCTGAAATACAGTATTCCATCGCAAGGACAGCAAAGTGTGATCTGAAATACAGTATTCCATCGCTAGGACTGCAAAGTGTGATCTGAAATACAGTATTCCATCGCTAGAACTGCAAAGTGTGATCTGAAATACAGTATTCCGTCGCTAGGACTGAGCAGTGTGATCTGAAATACAGTATTCCATCGCCAGGACTGAAAAGTGTGATCCATCGCTAGGACAGCAAAGTGTGATCTGAAATACAGTATTCCATCGCTAGAACTGCAAAGTGTGATCTACAATACAGTATTCCATCGCTAGGACTGCAAAGTGTGATCTGAAATACAGTATTCCGTCGCTAGGACTGAACAGTGTGATCTGAAATACAGTATTCCATCGCAAGGACTTCAAAATGTGATCTGAAATACAGTATTCCATCGCTAGAACTGCAAAGTGTGATCTGAAATACAGTATTCCATCGCTAGGACTGCAAAGTGTGATCTGAAATACAGTATTCCATCGCTAGGACTGCAAAGTGTGATCTGAAATACAGTATTCCATCGCTATGACTGAACAGTGTGATCTGAAATACAGTATTCCATCGCAAGGACAGCAAAGTGTGATCTGAAATACAGTATTCCATCGCTAGGACTGCAAAGTGTGATCTGAAATACAGTATTCCATCGCTAGAACTGCAAAGTGTGATCTGAAATACAGTATTCCATCGCTAGGACTGAAAAGTGTGATCTCAAAATACAGTATTCCATCACTAGGACTGCAAAGTGTGATCTGAAATACAGTATTCCATCGCTATGACTGAACAGTGTGATCTGAAATATAGTATTCCATCGCAAGGACAGCAAAGTGTGATCTGAAATACAGCATTCCATCGCTAGGACTGCAAAGTGTGATCTGAAATACAGTATTCCATCGCTAGAACTGCAAAGTTTGATCTGAAATACAGTATTCCGTCGCTAGGACCGAACAGTGTGATCTGAAATACAGTATTCCATCACTAGGACTGAAAAGTGTGATCTGAAATACAGTATTCCATCGCTAGGACTGAAAAGTGTGATCCATCGCTAGGACTGCAAAGTGTGATCTGAAATACAGTATTCCATCGCTAGGACAGCAAAGTGTGATATGAAATACAGTATTCCATCGCTAGGACTGCAAAGTGTGATCTGAAATACAGTATTCCGTCGCTAGGACAGAACAGTGTGATCTGAAATACAGTATTCCATCGCTAGGACTGAAAAGTGTGATCTCAAAATACAGTATTCCATCGCTAAGACTGAACAGTGTGATCTGAAATACAGTATTCCATCGCTAGGACTGAAAAGTGTGATCTGAAATACAGTATTCCATCGCTAGGACTGAACAGTGTGATCTGAAATACAGTATTCCATCGCTAGGACTGCAAAGTGTGATCTGAAATACAGTATTCCATCGCTAAGACTGAACAGTGTGATCTGAAATACAGTATTCCATCGCTAGGACTGAAAAGTGTGATCTGAAATACAGTATTCCATCGCTAGGACTGAACAGTGTGATCTGAAATACAGTATTCCATCGCTAGGACTGCAAAGTGTGATCTGAAATACAGTATTCCATCGCTAGGACTGAACAGTGTGATCTGAAATACAGTATTCCATCGCTAGGACTGAACAGTGTGATCTGAAATACAGTATTCCATCGCAAGGAC